TTTAGTATGATGTCTAAAACAGAAAATTCTGTATGGGGCAATAAGGAATATGAATATTTTATGAAGCTTCAAAATCTACAGGCAGAATCTATTTTCAATATTGTCGAATTTGACCGCACAATCAATGAATTAAAGCAGTGTGTAACTGAACTTCTATGGCATGTTGTCGTTGAAGAAGCACAGTTGATGCAACAACTCAGGCTAGTAAAAGAATTTTTTTTGATGGGACGAGGCGATTTATTTCTAGAATTCATCAAGCTCACGACGCACATTTTAAATAAGGCGCCAACAAATCACACATCCAGAGACATTAATCTCGCATTTCAAATGGCGCTGAGAAAGATGCATCTAAATGACGAAAGCGCTATCGATAGTTTTAACTTTGTAGTGCCTGTATCTGTTGAAAACGAGAACGTTAACACGGATATAATTGATCTCGATAACGAGAAACAAGATCCTAATGGTATATATTTCTTTATTGTTGCATTTCTATTTCTAAGGTATTTAAAAACGAAATATTAAATTTAAATTTTTCAGAGAAATGTGGATGGGGCATGATTATGCTTAAATATAAAGTCGTTTGGCCATTACATTTGATGTTTAGTCCAGCCGTATTAAACGATTACAACGTTCTGTTTCGTTTTCTATTGAGAGTTAAGAAAACTCAAATAAATTTGTGGAATCTTTGGAGTGAACATATGCACCACAAAGACATGTGAATAATATATCTATAACTATTATTATAACTATTAATAAATGATATTTTTACAATCCGTGATTATATGGAATGTATATAATTTACAGCGACATCGGTGTAATCCAATTGAGAAATAATTTAATTTTTATTGTTGACAACTTGCAATATTATCTGCAAGTGGACGTGATGGAGAGTCAGTATACTGTAATGGAAGCAAGTTTGAAAAATACACGAAATTTCGAAGATATACAGAAAGCACATTCTGTGTTTTTAGCTAATGTCATGTCGCAAACTTTTTTGTTAAGTAACACAGGAAAAAAGAATCCTGTAAGTTTTATCAGAATAATTTGTAAAAATCAGAATATAAAGTGAATTATATATTTAAACGATGTCATATATAATTTCTTCAATTAATTTAATCTAGACTAAACAAAAGTGAGCTCTATAAATATTTTATTGTTATTCTGAATAT